GCTGGCCGTTGGCGAGCCACAACAGGGAGAACCTTTTCCTTTCGCATGTTCTCTACCACGTAGACAACTGTTCTGTCTGGTGATGCCTTCCTAGTATAGCTGGATCCGTAAGATGAAAATACAGGCTATGAACAAAGCAAGACAAAGATATTTATAGGAATATTGAGCTGATAGGTCAAAGGTGAATTCATCCATGTTTGAGTATGAAGAAAGAAGCAGAGAATTGGGTCCGTTGCTTGCCTTAATGTAGTTTTGTAAGGCTTTCTGTTGCAGAGTGTGTAGAGGGGTGCAAAAATAACAACGAGGCTGTGCATTGAAGGACCCAAACAGACTTCCTTCCGACCCTCACCCCTTTTATGAAGATAATCGTAGGGAGCAAAGAAGACACTGATAAACCTCTTTATACATGCAAAGATGGACCAGGTAGCCGGTTGCCTTAATTTATTCCTGCAGAGCTAAAGGCATAGTATGTTCAGAGCACTGTCATCCAGTTAACATGGGCAGCCCGAACTGATTTAATACAGCATATTGATGATTAATCATTTTTCTATGCTTGCAAACAAATGCACAGTTCAGAAACTGGACCTGTAATGCAATAGAAATTGGTTCATTTGAACAGAACCTTAAATATGTAAGAGGGTTGATTTATGTTTATTTCCCAACAGTGGACATTCTTCTGGTTACGACAGCCGCTCTGCTCGTGCATTTCCTTATGGTAGTGGTAAGTCTCTTCAGTTCACTGCTTGAAAATGTCACTTGACCTGCTATATTTTCATATCTAAAATTTCTTCTTGCCTACAGGAAATGATGATAATAACTAATATTAATATTGTTGGTTTCCTAAGTCTTCCTATTACGGGTGACATCTTCCATTTGTCAAGCGTCCATTGGCAGCCACCAGTCTCCTGCCATATTGTGAGGAGGGGGCGGGACGTAGGGAGAATCACTTAACTGAAAATATATGTAGTCCTTCCCTTGGCTTACATCCATTCTTGGGTTGTTGAGCAAAGCGGTAGTTAAGATGCCATGTGACGGCTGTTCTCAACAACAGCAATCCCAGCGTTTCCGGTTGTGGTCATTAAGCAATCTGGGCAGGTCGTTCAATCTCGCAGGTT